GAAGATTTTACTTTATAAATAATTGTTTTTTTATCAATTTATTTAAATTTCTTTTTAATTCTTTTCTCTTTCAAATAAAATTTATTTAAATTTTTTTAAAATTCTTTTGCCCTACAAACCTTGGAGTGACTGTTGTATCGTCTGAAAAATGGGTCTGCTGTTAGGGTTCTAATTCTTACACCAATAAGGGAGTTGGTCATCCAGTAAGTGCCACTTCAAATCATTTTACGTGCGAACCTGAGTTTGTTATTTAAATGTTTGTGTATGTGGATATTCTCTTTTAATTTATAACAGCATGGGTTATTTTTGAACTACAAAGATAGCCTTTCAAATTGAAGTTGTTAAAGAAAAGCATTTTGCAAAATTCAATTTACAACTTATTTGCAATATCAGATAAAAAAATATCTTCATCTACATTAAACAAAAAAATACAATAAATAATTAAAAATAAATTATCGTTGACATACAATCACAACATTCATTATACTTATTTATAAGAATAAAAATAAATTATCGTGACATAAAATATACAGTCGACCAAAAGATGAGAATCAAACAAACATTTTTTATTTCCAAATACTTTTTGTACAATCTATAAATGTTACGCTAATAAAACCAAAATCAATACAAAATTCGTGCGTTGCACGAGACACAAACTAGTAATCTTTATTTGTTTATATGTTGATAACATGTTAGGTATGAGCAATCACATGAATGGAATCAAAGAAACGAAGAGGTTTCTATGTTACACGTTTAAGATGAAAGATCTTGGACAAGTGAATATCATATTGGATATCAAAGTTACCAAAACTAATGGGAGTTTTTCTTGAGTCAATCACATTATATTGATAATGTGATTAATAAGTTCAAATATTTTGAACATAAAATAATTCAATACTTTTCTTGATCCAAGTTTAAAATTTATAAAGAAATGATGGAAGAAAATTTGTTCAATTAGAGTATGCAAATGCTATAAGAAGTCTAATGTATGCAGTTCAATGCACAAGACCAGACATAGCACTTGCAGTTAATAAACTTATTAGGTTTATTGATAATCCAAACAAAGAATATTGGAAGGCCATTGGAAGAGTTATTTGGTTATTTAAAGAAAACCAATAATTTAGATCTACAACATTCTAAATTGTCGATTATATTGGAAGAATTTATCGATGCTACTTAGATACCTAACATGAGTGAAAGTAAATCAACCTTGGGTTGGGTGTTTACTCTTGGAGGAGAGCTGCTTCTTGGAAATCGGATAAACAAACACGTACTACACACTCGCCTATGAAATCTGAATTTGTAGCGTTATCAGATACAGGGAAAGAAGTTGAATGGCTTAAAGATCTTCTTTATGAAATACCTTAAGGACCGAAAAATACGTCTTCAATATTCATCATGTGTGACAATCAAGTCAATTAGCAAAGGCATACAATGAGGTATACTATGATAAGTCTAGGCATATGAGTCTGAGACACAACTACCTTGGAAATTGAATCAAGAATAGAACAATTTCCTTAAATTATGTTAAGTCGATTGAGACTTTAGCAGATCCCTTAACTAAATCTCTAATAGAGATTTAGTAATATCTACCTCCAGTAAGATGGGATTGAAACTTTTAAAATAAAAGATTCACCAATGATGACAATCCTATTAGTCATTACTTAATAAGTAATTCAAGAGTTCAAAGAGTAGTAACAAGTCATTCGATATGTAAATAGTTTCAACGTTATAAAATCCTCAATAACATTATCCTAATAATATGATGTTTGTTGTTACTTGAATGAGGGTTGAGCTTTAAGCTCCTAATAAAATTCAGTACCAAAGTAGAAGTATTCCTAAAAGTAACAAAGATGCTGAAAGAATTTTACCTATATAAACTTCGAGATAGTCCCACTTCAATAGAGAGTTGGAGTTTTTCTCTTAAAAATTATTTGAATAGGATCAACGCGAAGCCAAGTTAGCGTTAAGGGAGATTGAGGAACTTGAAAACACATAATACTTGTTTGTGTGTTCTTATCGATATTGTCACAATGAATGATTGATTCAAAACTTTGTTGCTACCTTTAATTTCGAATTTAATTTATTCGAATTATACTATTGTTAGATTCAAATTTAAAGATATCTAATTCTTATGTATAAGTATTGTATAGTTTCAATATGAAATTTTATTAAATATTGAACAAGTGAAAGATTATTGAAATTATCGTTCAAAATCAACAATATAGGCTTTGGAATGAAAAATGCTTTGGAGGCCAAAACTTTGGCAGCGATCACATGATGACATGTAGGACTTGTATGCCCTGCAAGAGATTGACCTATACGGTCGCATAGAATTGTTCTATGCGGTTGCATAGAACTAAGGTTGATTTTTTTGTTGAATTATTCAATATGTACCGAATGTCGGGTACTCATTGGTTTCCCTCCACTCATAATGTATACAGGCCCCACGTGAATTTAAAAATGTTGACATGTGATCCCTACCCCTGTTATGAGTAGTAGGTAAAAAATTTGGTAAAAAAAGGTATATGTAGCATTGTCCTTTTTTGTTTGAATTCTTGGTGGCATTTGATGAAAAGCTTACAATCGTTCGTGGTTCTTGGGCACCAATTTGTGGTTGTTGATTGAAATATATAAATACATATAGATTATGACATCAAAAATACAACTTTTAACAACTTGATATCAAATCTTCATTCCAAAAGACAGAATTTATATTCTTTCATTCATATTCGAAGTTGTTTCAAAAGTGTTCTTGAAGTTTTGATAGAAAATACAAAGTGTTTAAGTGTTTTTCTATCGCAAGACTTGATTAATCATTCAAGTCAATTGCCAATATTCTTTTAAACATCGAATTCAATCTGAGAAGGGATAGGACAATAAATTTCGGGTTTAAGCTTTTATCTCTTGTTCCAATGCTTTCAATTTTGTTCGTAGTTTCTTCTCCAACCCATTGTGTGGACAGGGACAGACATAGAAATTTTTAGTTAGTGGGCACAATCAAACTCTGTACAAATAGAATACTTCGTTATTGATTTTTAAATAATTCATACTTGATTCGAGAAAATGCAGATTTACATTTAAAAACATTTCTTCATTAATATTTTGCTCGTAATTTTCCTCCATTTCATTTCGAACAATTATTTTATTAATATTTTGCTCATCATAAGAAAATTCATATTTATACTGAAAAAAATTATAGGGTATTTAATACTTTAATCAATTCAAGTGATCGAAAGAAAAAATATATAATCAATATTCAATCAAATAAATAAAATTCGTTAAATATAAACTAAATTGGATATAATCAGTTCAGACACATTCAATGTACACAAAAAGGATAAGAGAAAATGCAAATTTTGATTCTAATTAATTGAAAATTTGATTGAAAAGTAAAAATTTGTAGTAGTTATGATAATTTGTCAACAAATTTTACATAAATTTTAAAAAGTTAGAAGAGTTAAGGTTTTGGTAAATAATGTGAAGAAGAGTAAAATAGAGTAAGAGAAAAGAAACAAATTCAAATTTATTATGATTTTACCCTTGTTTTGTGAGAATTATTTAAATTTCAATCAATATCAAATAGGACTTATCCACTTATCCATTAAAATAAAAGAAAAAGAAATAATGCCCTTGTTTGAGCCCCATTTTTCAATCAAAATACATCCTTCAACAGTTATTTGACATCATTTCAATCACACATTTTTCAATAAAATAATATTCTATGCAAATCAAAAATTTCTTCTTATTTTTTAACCACACATTTCTCATCAATACACTATTCAAAAATTCATTTTCTTCACAAAAATAGGGCTCAAACAAGAGCAATAATAATGTAATCTCAAATTTTGGGAGGTCACTTGACCTTGCAGGACACCCCTTGGGTCCATCCCTGTTTGTGGAAACAATTTTCCAACAAACCTGTCCAAGTAAAAGAAAAAACCACAACATGAATTAATTGATGATTCAATTTTTCCAATATAAATGAACACTCGACTAAATTTGCATCTGTAAATCAATTCTTGACTTTGGCCTCTTAATGCATGTAAATATTACAAAAGCACCTAAAAAAAGGAGCCTATACTTCTAGATCAATTTAAGCGTGTCACGAGTTCATTGGTTTATAAATTAATTTCTTAGTGTCCACAATTAATTATTTTTATTCAAATTTAATCAGCATTAGTCAATCGATTTGTTTTCAAAAGAAAGAAAAATAAAGGAACCAGCTTCTTATAGTCTGTATAAAGTCAACGTCATTTAGTCCATTGAATCATCGTTTTACAATATTTTGACGTACAAGTTTGGGGTTGGTGACTAAACGAGAAGTTCACTCATAAGGTGCGACGAGGTCCAAAATCACCCCTCTTTTCAATTCCATTCACTTTCAGAGATGTAAGCAAAAAGTGTATAAATCAAATCCAAATTAATATTTTCCACAGTTAAACGGCGAGTTTGGTGTTACTTGTTCGACATTCTAAATAACTTCACATATTATTAATTGTACAGTAAAACAGTAATGAATTGCTTCAAGACCAACCTTGATTTTCTTGTTTAGAGGTGCAGATCGAGCTCTCAAGGACCGAAGCATCTCGATCCTTGTTTCTGCCCACTCGGGCCTTTTCTTTTCTCAAAAATTTGACGAGGATTGATAACATATTTTTTTAATTTTATTGAATTAAGTGACTTAGTCAAGCATCGATTTTTTTATAGACGCTTGACACAACTCACCATAAAATGCAAATTAGGTCGAGCTTCTATGTATCGTACACAGTAACACTTTGGATTAGAGATAATAAGACCCATTCGGTCGTGCTTTCGTTTTTTGTATTAAATAAAAAAAAAGGGGGAAGTTCATGAGGAAGTTACCTTAAACGAACTTCCTATAAAAACTCATTAGACAAACAAAGCACTATCATTAAATTACTTAAATATATTTAAAAACAATTTCTTAATTTGATAAACAATTTTTGACTTTTCAAAAATCATGGCAAACTATCCCACGTTGCAAGTATGGATTTTCATTACAACCAACCATTAATTTACAATCATTTATTTCTTATTCCATTTCCATATAATTGCTAATAGGAAAATATTCTCAAGTTTGACAATTCCATCTCTTGGGCAACTATATAGGAAGTTTATGATGCACGGCTTAAAACCACCACATTACAAGCAGAAATATAAAAACACTCAGCATGGCAAATATTTATTACTAATTATCTAAGGTCGACCAAATATGCCAGCCCAGCAGCTCACCCTCCTCTTCCTCCTGCTTTTCGGCCACCACTAACATGTTTGACAAATAGCTGCCGCCATCATCACTGCCGTCGTCCTCCTCGGATTGAATACCCCCCACCCCGGCAGCCACACAACCCAAATAATTGTTGGGAAAATAGGAATCACCACTGTCCACAAGCTGCGGACCTTCCTGATCATCCACCGCTGAACTTCCGTCACTGCCGCTACTGAGACGGTCTTCGACATTCAAGATGAGTTGGGCGGGGGAATCGGCCGGAGCATCCACCAGGACCGGATCAGATTTCTCTACGGCAGCCTCTTTTCCTTGCAGCTTCTCTGTCAAGGAAAAAACCTGCATGCATGGACATTAAGATTGTTATTTCTCAAAGCCATCGTCGTTTGTTTAACAATAAATTGACTTCTAAATTATCAAATCCATCACTAGATTCCAACGATGCTATAAAACTAATAGTTCCAACTCGATAAATAGACCAACCCAGTTACCTTGATTAATCAATATTTTTAGAACAATTTTGTCATACATGGAGAACTAAAAATTTTTATTCGTTTTTCAAAGTGCAAATCATTTCCTTTTAGATGGTGGAATTTAGAACAGATGCTATTTTGTTTGACTGATGCAGGAATAGAATTGCTGAGCTTGACATATACGTAATTTTTAGGAACCATTCCAATAGGTTTTCATATGTATACACACGCGCGCAGCGAGCGAAAGATGCCAAGGTCATTTTCTGAGTTGCTGTCAAGTGACCTTGTAATAAGGGTCACCCTTGCAACAGGACACGCATGCCATCATTTTAATATCAAAATTTATAATTATTGAAATGTGATAGCCAATTATAAAAGTTTCTATTGATTCTTCAGATTCAGAAGAGCCACCTACTGTTATACGGCAAAAAAATCAAGGAAATATCACAAAAGTTTCTATCAAGAGCATGAGATTTTACCTCAGCTTTCAGTTTCTCATTTTCTTTGAGAATGGAGTCATAACTGGACGAAAGAGAATCATATGAGGACTTTAGTTTATCATAATCCCTTTCCAGCTGTTTGGTCTTCCACCGTGCACGGCGGTTCTGGAACCACACCGCCACCTGCCGCGGCTGCAGGCCTAGCTTCTTCGCCAGCTGGGTCTTGCGATCCGGCTCCAGCTTATTCTCTGTTTCGAAGCTTTTCTCCAGCAAGTGCACCTAAATCAGCCCACCCCACTAATTGAAAAATAGTAATTACATACTAGTGCAAATCATTTATGCATCAGATTAATCGTCAAAGATCTATTCATTTTTATGTTTCTAATCCATTAGAAAATCTGTTTTTTAAGATTTCTTAGCTCAATTGTTTGGTGATGAGTATGTAATGCTGCTTGAGTAGTAAAGTCTGTGCTATGAATGCATATGTAGGTACCATGAGTCATTCGGCAAATTTGGATTCGTATAGATATCCACATGGGTGGTACTTCATTGTACGATTTCTCAGGCTAATACCATGCAAAATTTGTTCTTGAAATAATTTTAAAAAATTACAATAAAGTAAAATTCGACCTGCTCAAGCGTAAGACGGCGCTTCTTCTCCGGCAGCTGCTCGTCGTAGTATTCTTCATCATACAATTCTTCCGGCGAGCTGAAAAAAGGCCGCCTCTTCGAGGTTTCCTCCATGTTCATCGCCAATCTTGCTTCTATATCATTAATTATTGAGAAATCAACTAACTAAATGAAAGATAAAAATAATTTTTTCTTCAAATATTACAATAATCTGATTAATTTATGCGAAGTATATCATGAATATAAGAGATTACCTCGATAAACAGAGTCTCCGTTTCGTAGAAATACCACGTTGCCATTGTACGAGGGGTCAAAGAAAATACGACCGGATTCCATTTCTTTCGTCAGATATCCGGTTATTAAATACACCGTTATCAATATATATAGATATATGTTTACGCACGCGCGAGAGAGAAAATCGTGTATATATATTTAGTTTTTCCGGCGAAAAACAAGACAATCTACTTAACAGTAAGCGGTTGGATTTTTAACTAAATCACTAGAATAGCATGCGCTTGTGGCGGAAGAAACTAGTGCTCCAGAGCAACCTCGCCGGAGTCTCCAGCGGACAGATGCAAAATCCCATCATGCGAAGTACTACTTTCCCAGATCCGGTTATAACTCTCCGGCGCCGATTTTTCTGAAGAAAAATCAATTCACTAGTTTGTGATTCAATTCCGATGAAAATATATTCCGGCGGGGCTGTTTGGTAATATCGCGCTTTAGAGATGCCACCCGTAAGTGCTCTGCAGCTAAAGTTGAATGAGGTGATGCCAAGGCTATATATATTAGTTTTCTGAAGTGAAATTACAATTATAATCATGTAGACTTTTTTCATATTATGATTTATATTGGGTGTTTTGGGAAATTCATGATTTGGGTGGGTTCATTTAATGGGCGTGACTAACTTGCGCCGCGGGTGACTGGGTAAATTGAATTTACATTGGATCTGAGTCGTTGGGGGTGGTGGGGGCATCGGGCATCAAACGTGCCAGATCAAGAGAGAGACAGAATTATAAACAGTAGCCATTCTCTACGGTCGGGAGGCTGTCGGGTGCCGTCGTGCCGTAACCCCATACTTTTTGCAGTGGTTGCATTTTGCAATCCGATTGTTATCCAATAATTTATTGATATCTTAAACTTATATTTAAACATAAGTGATAATAAAAGAAAAATTCAACATATTATTTTAAAATAATGTATTAATATATAATTGGGTGAACAGAAGTTATACAGCTAATTTTAAACATCAGATCTCAACTCTAATAGTACATTATTATCTTCTTCTTCTTTATTTTTTTTTTATTATTATTATCTTTTTTTTGCTTTGCCTTATCTCCACCTATCTTGAACAGTCAAAGTTCAGTTTTTTTTTAATTTCAAAATCAAGTCAATTTTTTTTGTATTGAATTGAATAAAATAAATATTAAAAGAAAATTAATCTTACGAGCTTCTTTTCCTTAATTTGATCCTATTCATTATCACGAATAAAGACATAATCACGTCAACTAAGTTCGTCCAATAAATTATTTAGGTTTCTCTAGAGATTTTCTCTCCATCCCAAATTCATTATGAATGAAAAAGTATGAAGTTTGTTAGGGAAAGATAAGTCCATCTCTTCTTTGATCTCTTTTTAGTTTAGCTAATCTTCAATACAACTACTCAATAATACACTGGTTACATGGCTCAACGGTATGTCGTCATTAGAATCTATTATGAACGTAGATCTCCAATTCTTGTTAATTTGACAATTTTTCAGTACAAAGAGTCAACAATATTACGTTTTTAGAATCTATAATAGTTGTCGTTCTCCTATTCTTTGTAGTTTGAATAGTTTTCAATACAAGTACATATCAATTATGGTCATTCATCTCCAACTCAATCTTAAGTAGCATGTTTATATGGCACTAAGTTCACTTAACATTCATTCAATGATAATATTATTTTTTTAACAGTTGTAATGAACAATAGTTCATGTGGCACTAAGTTCATCATCACAATGTTCGAAAAAAAAAAATGAATCTCAACTTTGTTAAACAATGCGACAATGATCTCGTTGTCATCACCACAGCTTATGAACAACATTACTCTGCATTTTAAAATAAGTCGTAGTCGATTACTTTTAATCTTTGAATTGATGGGCACCAATGTCAAAGTCGGATCAATTGGTTAGAATATGGTGATTTTTGTGGTTAAGGATATTGAGGGTCACGTACTCGTAGTCAAAGTGGCTATAGCATTAAAATGTGGCTATGTGGGCGAAAATCGTTGAATGTGAGCATCTGCTTTGTAGGAACATGCACATGAAAGGATTCTATAGTGGAATAATTAAAAATTTAAAAAGTAAAAACATCAGAATTTCAAGTGAGAACAATATCTTCTTTTATTGCAAATAGAGATAATTAAAATAATATTGAGTCCACTTTCCATGTGTTTTCCAGTTGTTGCCGTCGGATCCAATTGAGGAATAATATCATTAATTATATAACTTCAAACGAAAAATTGGAACATTGATCATAAACCTATTGTTCGAGTAGCGAATTAGTCATCAACCTTTTACTATAATTATATCATCGTCAAAAAAAAAAAAAAAAACTCCCAAATTTTCATTAAATCATCTCTTGAACCTTGTGAAAATATGCTCAAGTTGAAAAACAAATTGAATTTGTACTGTTGAAAATTGGAGGATCCCGTTACAATTTAACGAATAGTTGAATAGATTCCTCATTAAAGACTGGTACTGCAATATAGTGAAGGATAATTATATTAACACCACCCCCCCTTTTTTTCCTACTTTTTAATTGGACTAAAAACTTCAAATTATTTGTAATTATCATATTTATATCTCCAACTCTTTAATCACATTCTTATCATTAATCTTGCATTAATTAGTACATCTAGTTTTCGATGATGGTTTATCCAAATAAACAATATAGGGGTGAAAATTCTCCACTAGAGTTTTAGCTTTGCAGGGTTATCCATATGGTTCGTACATAAAAGAGTTTCGTGTCTTCTTCATTTTAGGTTAGATGAAGCCATAAAGATTAAGTTAGATCCTACGGATTTTCACTTCGACGGAGAGATGGAGAAGTGGAACTAATACTAGTAGGACAAATACATGATCAGAGAATGAGTTTGAAGGCATGACTATCATACTCTCATGCCAAAAGTACATCTTCCTAAATGCGAGAATTTCAATAGAAGCAGGGAAACTATTCATCGAGGCAACAACCTTCTACTCTATCCATAAATGTTGAAGCGATTACAAAATTGATTATGTTAGTGAGCTCTGAAATGTGGGAAATAATATTATGTTTCACTATTATATATGTTGTTTTTTCTTATATAAAAATATGAGGACAACTAATTAGTTTGAGTGATGCTACACCACCAAATTGGACCTTCACAGGTTCTCTACAGGCTCTTTTGGAGGTGGTAGGTCGGCCTTTTTTATTGCAATTTTTTAATGCATGAGGGTCAAACGTGGGGCCCACCTTATTGTGAGAACCTATACACAGCCTGGTAGAATTCACCTGGCAAACCAGCATATTTGAATGAATTTTTTTAGGTCATTCGTCCATGCCTTTATAGATAGAAATTGTAAATTCGTAATTGGAGGCAAGATGTTCTAATTAAAGAAATGTTGCTGATAAGATTGTGATGAAAAAATGTGAGAATATAAATAAAAAATGAGGACTACTTGCTCATTTTAAAAGGTTAGTGACTATCTTTTTTCTCGAACAACATGTTGAGGACCAGTGGTTTAATTTTCCGAACTCAAAATTAAAGAATATTAGGCTTTTCCACCCTAAGAAAGAAGAATTAAAGAATAATAATCCACCCTAAGAAGAAGAATAATGAACTTCTCTAATCCCAAAAAGATAGCAAACCCATGAATCTATTTTAGGCAATAGATTAGGCATATTTAAAAGCATCATCATTTAGTTTTAAATTTAAATTTTCAGTCATAAGTTATCGGAATCAAGGGGGCAACCTATCATGTTCCTTTGTCTTCCAACGCTCAACACTGTATCCGAAACATTTCATTAATCTTTAATTCTACTGAAAGTTTATATCTTGTTCACGATGTCTATCTTCTTTTATATTATTTAATAAACTCACAATAAATATCTTTCAATCAGGACAGACGCAGACATTTTGAATTAGGGACACGATCAAACCCTATTCAAATAAAATATTTTGTTCTTAGTTTCGAATGATTCATACTTAACCCGAAGAATGTAGATATACATTTTAAAAACATTTATTCATCAATATTTTGCTCATCACTTTCACCCATTGGATTTCGGATGGTCATTTAATTAATATTTTGCTCGTTGCAAGAAAATGCATATTTGCGTGTAAAAAAATTAATATAGTATTTGTATCAAATACTCAATTCAAGTAACCGAAAATGAAAATATATACTAAAAATTAATATAGTATTTTCTTTTTGTTTTATTTGAATGGGAGAGTGAAATCGTCATTTTATTGAAAAAATGGATGAAAAGGACCTTTTGCGCAATGAAATGTGAAATGTAGGGGTAAAAATGTTAAAAATGAAAGGTAGGGACGTTTTGCACAATAATATTGAAAGGTAGGGACCTTTTCTGCTAATTATGCTAAAAAATAAAAGGTAGGGATTTTTTGCACAATAACTTTGAAAGGTAGGGACCTTTTGTGCTAATTACCTTTTTGATTTAACGGAGCATTTTAACGGAGAGTTAACAGAAGGACGTTTTTCGCAAAAAAAGGTAAAGGTAAGGGTGTAATCCGCCAAAAAATGAAAGGTATGGACGTTTTCCACAAAAATATCGAAATGTAGGGACATTTTGTGCTAATTACCCATCCTATAAAATGCTTTATTAAAATTAATTATTAAATTTGACTTAAATTTTTTCTGCTTTTTTTGTTAAAACCAAACAAGGGCTAAAGAAAACGTGGAGCTCAAATGATGTTTTAGTATAAAATGATATCTTAAACAATCTATGAGGAAGTAGCTAGCTAATCCATGTACCTATTAACATAAACCCTAGTGATTTCCCTTTGCCATTAGGTGGATCATGCACTTTTCATTAGGTCTATTGATCTCCTAGTGGAGGAATCTGTTCAAATAACTAATACTTAAAAGACCTCTGGTGGGATGAAACAATTACTCGAGTTATATTTTTCTCAATCTAACCCATCCCTCAAAGGCTCTCGGTACAAGTTGGAGATTATGGCCCTATTTGATCCACGTTCTTTCAAAAAAAAAAAAAAAATTCTTGAATAGTGATTCGATGTCATTTCAACATACATTTTTCAATAAAATAATATTACAAACAATTTCAAAACTTTTCCTTAATTTTTAAACACACACTTCTCATCAATACATTATTCAAAAATGCATTCTTATAAAAATAATGTAACTCGAACAAGGGCTATATGTTTTTACCCTTTAATTACTAGCGGGATGAAACAATTATTCAAGGTTACGCCTTTCTCCCAATCTAATATTTATCGATACACGCTCAATGTACGCGAATGCAAGAGATGCACATAGAGATAGCAAGATGCTTTTTGGTTTTCAATTCCTTATTTGCTAAGGTAAGGCAAGAGACTATATATGTGGAGTGGA